CGGGCGTCGGAGGGGCTCGGGCGCGGGCGCCTCCGCGGCCGGCGGGTTACATGATCCCGCGGCCCGCTGTTCCCTCCGAGCGACCTTTCCGTGAGGCGGCGCGGCGGGGCTCCGGGCTGTAGTGACGAGTGGACGAGCGCTCCTGCCGGCCTGAACCCGCGGGGTGGGCTCCTCCTGGGGAGGCCCGGGGACTCGATCCCCTTGCTTCGGGGAAACAACCTTTTGGATTTCCAAGAGCGGAAAGGAAAGTCCGTTTACTTGCATGGTGGGTTTTGTGGTTCGAACTGCCTGGAGTCACTCTGACAATCCTACTTCTATCAGAGAAAAACAAGGTTGTGAGAGACAAAAACGGTAACATTCCAGGCAGGATAAGTGAGATTTCATTTTAAAACCACCCAGACCTGGGATCAAGAACCCGAAGTCAGGACTCATCCAGTTAGAATACTGTCACAGGAGCCCTGGAGGAGCGCTAAGTAAAGTTTGACTTAGAAAAGGTCAACTCAAACTTATCAACCTAACACTGAGACCTAGGTAACGTGTTTTGGTAGCTGTATCTCTGGATGCTCATGTTAACCAGGTACTTAATTCAGCTCATCCTACAGTCTTCCTACTGAAATGCTACTAGTTCAAGCCTTATGTCACAGGAAACTGTGAAATGAGGTCAGCTTTCTCTTAAGAGCCACAAATGGCTCCCAAAGCACATGACTAGTTATATTGGTGATCTTACTGAAACATTAACTTGCCAGGAATGAAGCACTGCGAGGCTCCTGGGTGTTTTGTGGTGGCCTCCGCGAGCCATTCCACAGGTGACGAGTGTACACCTGGCCAGACTGTGGCATGCTGGTAGGAGATGGTCAAAGTTCAGACGTGTGGGCCATGAGTCTGTACTACGTGCTGGAGTGTTCTTTGTTCCTGGCAGTCTAACAAAGCATGCCATTGGTCATGGTGAGGTAAGGCCTACCAGAGTGTAAATCTGGCACAACTTCACTACTAAAAATAACTCAAGTGCTTGTTTCTGGAACCATGGAATAGTAGTGTCATTGCATAGCAATCGTGTTGCATAATGTGTGTTATATAATTCACATTAAAATTTTACCATTCTGGATCAGCAGTAATTAGAAATCCTTTCCTATATATAATTAAAATGTGGCGTTGTCGTAGCAGGAGAAATCAAGCTCTGGGTAGGAATCCACCCCATTTATTGAGTGGCATGTTAGCAGAATTTTGTAAAAAGTTGAAACAAGAAATGAACCTGGTTCAGGTCCATTCAGGTATTAGAAAACAGACAGGAAACACTTCTGTAATTGTCACACAAATGGTACCTGCGCAATGTCCTAATGACCATTGCTATATTGTTTCTTGTTTCTCCCCAATTTAAATATAACTCCTAGTCCTGAAAGCTCCTACCCTTGCTGCATAATTGTCTAGGCCTTTTGCAGCATCTCAAGTCAGACACTTAAACTCCGATCATGCCCTACCCCAACTCTGTTTTTTGCCAAACATGGTCATTGTTATTTTAACATTTTCGTATAAATCATAAAGACAGCTATGGTGTCTGGTCTTCCAGAATTCTAAATCTCTAAATAGGCTGATTACATAGTATAAATCATAATGTTAAATTTAGAAAACTTCTGAAGTTGTGTTAAAGAATAAGAACGGAAAATGGGACGATGCCCCGTGCCTCCCACTCTGTAAAAATATATGTGTAGCCAATCTTTAATATCAGTAATTAGATACAGCCTATGTTTAAGTAATATTTTGATCTTGCACCTATAAATTCTTGAATTATTTTTATTGTTTCCTGGCTAATTTTCATAAGGCTAATCTTTATTTTTATCAGAAACCAATAGGTGTTTTAGAGAAATTGCTCTTGCCTTCTGTGTCAGGAGTTTCAGTTAAATGGCTGTTCGTGGTATTCACTTTATTGTGAATAAGTACGGTATATCCCCAAACATCTGACTAAGACTTCAAACAGGGGAGAATGCCATCTGGCTTAGGAGAAGGCCTTTCCCAAAGTTTCATTCATGGGCAACCAAGGAGAAAACAAACTCTGCCCTCAATCAGACTTACTAACTTCCTGAGCCAAATTGACGTTAATGAACTCCTGGATGGCTTACAGGATGGACTGCAAGGCAGTCTAGTGGAGGAATTGCTGTGATGTTTTCATCATTGTATGCAGCTAAGAAACAGTTGCAAAACAGCTTATACATGCTAGATACACCTTTTCTTGGTATTAAAAAATGGCTATCTTATTCTTAGGAACTACAGTACAGTTATCACCTATCATTACTTCCATTTTTCTCCTTTTAATGTTATATGTAAAACAACACTTCTGGATCTCTTTCACCTATGAGGTCCTACATAAAAGAGGAACATTTCTTTAAAATCAAAATTCAATTAATTTCTCAAACAAACTGAAAATTATTACTCTTTTAGTTGCTTTTTGATAGCCGTTGGTATTGCCACTCTTACTTTCTGTGAAAATGTCCTGTTCTTTGATAGAGTCACAATTGTATAAATAGCAAAATGGAACTTTTTAGCCCATAACTTCTGTCAGCCAGATTAGGCCCCAGGCCACATCTGGCTCCAGCTCCAGACTCAGGCTTGGTGGAGCCAGTGGAAGAGCACCAGTAGAGCCAGCCACCTTGTCCTTTCCAGGCTATGGTCCCCAGGATGATGCTGTTCTGAGCGTTATAGCCAGCTAAAATCTGGTCTGTGTTTTCAAGTGTTCTGTTGTGTTCATCTGGATGATAGTTATAATTTGTAATATCTATCCTTTTAATGAACATTACAATGTCCATCATTTTAATAATATTTTTGTCCCTCATTTTGATCTTTATATGTATGGAAGCTATAATGTTTCAGAGTTAAAAGTAAGGGGAAATGTGTTTGTACTTTAATTATCTAGGCCAAAGGTCAGTCATCATTTTGTTTTTAGTAATTTTTTTTTAAAATGGTCAGACTGAAAATATTTTAGGTTTTGTGTGCTGTAAGGCAAATCAGGGATATTACATAGATACTTGGAAGCACTTAAAATGTACCCATCTCCAGCACCAAAGGATATAAATGAGTAAATAATATGTATCTGGCTAGAAATATAAAGCCAGTTTTGACTTGTGGGCCATATAAAAATCAATGGTAAGCCAGGTGTGGTGGTGCACACCTGTAATCCCAGCACTCAGAAGGCTGAAGAAGGAGGATCACCATGAGTTTGAGGCTAGTCTGGGCTAAGTAATGAACTGAAGACTAGCCTAACCTACACAGTGAAACCCTGTCTCAAACAACCAAAACCAAAGACAAAACAAAACAGGCTGTTTGTGAGCCAGCAGGCCATGTGTTTGCCAACACTCTTTCCTTTTTTCTCTTACAGCCCCATGTCTGGGAGTTACAGAGTCATGGGTGACGATGGTTCTATTGATTACACTGTTCATGAAGCCTGGAATGAAGCCACCAACGTCTACCTGATAGTGATCCTTGTTAGCTTTGGCCTCTTCATGTATGCTAAGAGGTAGATCTGTTAGTATCTCAAAATATGGCACTGGGCTTTTAAGAGTCTTATAGGATTTTTCTGAATTAAATGCATAAAACATAATTTTGTCAGAATGTTCATTCCTTTACCAGGTGCAGTCTCCACTCTGGTCCTAGGTACTGGTGGTGACTGGGTGTTGGGTTTAAAACACCTTTGCCTTAGGAGGTACAGGTTTAAGTATAGCTCCCACCACCTGGGCCAGATGCTCTTTGCTACTATTCTGACACTTTTAAGATAACCCAGTTTTACCATCAGTCAGGATTCATTGCTACTGTCTGAGGAGCACATGTTTATTTGTTTTTTGCTCTTTTTTTGGTGCCCAAGTTCCTGAAATGAAGAAACACTAACTCCTCTGTATTCAGGAAATCTCCTTGCCCTTAAACTTTTCCTTGTTTCTTGTGCATGACGCTTTCACAGCATTTATAATAGTACTGTTGTTATCTGGTTACTTGTGTTTTCTTTATCTACAAAAACTTGTCTCTGGAGAACAAGGGCTTTGTCTTTTACCTCAGTGTCCTGAATGTGTCGTGTGGTGTGACTCCTCAGTGTTTTCTGCCTCAGTCAAGATGTAGTTTCATTCAACTGCCCTCTTTTACACCTGCTGGCTCCTGTATCCTAAGTGTTTAGTTTTAAAAAGGGGTGTGTACTTCACAGAAGAAAAACAGTATTAGTGGAGCTGAGTTGGGTCTGCCCCCAGACACATGCTTCAGGAAGTTCTCTACATAGATAAAAATGTCATTAAATAGTTGAAAATGATTAGTAAGCCAGAAATAATTTGTGTTTTGCCTGGGGATAATCAGAGCCCAACCTTCCTGGCCACACAGCCCTCCTGGAGCAGCTGAGTTGGTGCCAAGGGACTGTGGGCCATGGATGGGAAAAGGCACCCATGTTTCCACTGCTCTGTGTGCACAGAGCAGCTTTCTTCTAAAAGCAGGCACCACCTCCTCTCCACTTTCCTTTTAAAAGCAGAGGCACATTGTTCTGGTTTTTAAAAAGATGTCCCCACTAAAGCCATGCTATTGTAATTAAGAAATAGTTTTATTCATGAATTTCCAAAATTAAGATATGCTTACATCAGTGTAATCTCCAAATCAAAAATTTGTCCTTATTTGGATGATACGAGAGGGAGGAAAAATGAGAATTTTTTGATTGTACATTTTTCTATATAGTATCTGGCTTTTGTAGGGGTTAAGGGAAGTCACAATGGAGACCTCTCACTTTGTTTTATTAAATGGGTGTATTTAGCACTTCATTTCTCTTAAACCCTGTTGCTTTTAGTAAGCCCCATATTTTTAGTAAAAGAACAGATGAGCAAAGGAAGCATCTCACGAAGTAGAAAATAAAATGGACTTGTCATTTTGAGGCCTTTTAACGTAGCTTCTGATTACCAAGACAAATCTGCATTTTACTTTTTTTTTTTTTGTATTTTAGGAATAAAAGGAGAATTATGAGGATATTCAGTGTGCCACCTACAGAAGAAACTTTGACAGAGCCCAACTTTTATGACACAATGAGCAAAATTCGTTTAAGGCAACAACTGGAAATGTATTCCATCTGTAAGTACAGTCTGTGCTAAGCTGTATACATAAGCCGTTATGTTTAAATAGATGTTTTGGAATTGAGTTGAATTAGCAGAGGGTTAGGTTATCAAAATTGTTGGTTATATAAAATATAGTACCTTTTTTTAGATGTTTAACCCTTTTTCAGCAAAGGCAAATTTACTGTGAAATTTGTTGCCATGGGACCCTTTCCAGGACCCTGAAAAGTGCCTTAGCAATGTATTACTATGATTACATGTTTGAAAATTGTATAAAAATTGAGATTTTACCCATCAGTTGAGACTGCTATCTCTTCCTATTATAATTTTTCCTCCTTTGCATGACCCTTCATCTGGCATGGCATTAAAGTCACCAAAACACTGCAAGCCAAAGTAGTGTAGGAATGAATGGCCTCTATGAGTATGACATGTGTCATCAGGGGCCAGGCCAGAAAGTCCTATCTCATTATGTCCATAGTCCTGAGCATTGTACGTGTGTAGGCAGTGAAGAAGAAACAAAGTTCAGAATGTGTGGGGCCAGAATAAATTGTCCATCTAAGCCAGAGCTTTTTATGCTAATAAATGAATGGGGTGTGGTTTACCTAGTGTATATAGTTAAGTGTGAAAAGCAAATAGAATGTTTGCTAGGCTGCTGCCACTGTAAAATCAAATAACCACAATGCCCCTTTTATATTTACATACAATAAAAATGTTTGCTATTGCTGTGGCAGCACGGAGGAAGGTATGGGAAGATCTGCATCAGGTTTTTGACATCTACTGCTTCATAGGAACTGTGTGGATTTATTGTTATTATTATTTATTTTTTGTCTTTTTGAGACAGGGTCTTGCTATGCAGTTCAAGCTGGCTTTGAGCTCACTTTATAGGCCAGGCTGGTCTCAAACTCACAGTGATCCTCCTGCCTCAGCCTCCCAAGTGCTGGGATTACAGGCATGCGCCACCACGCCTGGTACTGTGTGGGATTTAAAAAAAAAAAAAACCAGGCAATTTGGTTTTTTTTTTTTTTTTTTTTTTTTTGTCATCTTCAGACAGGTTCTCACTATGCAGTTCAGGCTGGCCTTGAGCTCACTTTGTAGCCTACGCTGGCCTTGAACTGGCAGCAATCCTCCTGCCTTAGCCTCCCAAGTGCTGGGATTATAGTTGTGTGCCACCACACCTGGCTTGGCTTACACCTGGCTTGGCTTACACCTGGCTTGGCTTTACTTAAAGAAAAATGTCCACAGTAAAAACTTAAGTGTATACATGCTTGCATATGTATGCATGCACACACGTGCCATACATAGCAAGAAGCAAAATAAGATGATCAGCAAATTTTTGTTGGCATATATCTCAGGCTAAGTGGAATTTCAGATGAAAAATAGAAAAAAAATATATAGACCCACATATATATATCCACAATCTGTGGATGCTGAAGTCTCTTTTATAAAATAGTATTTTTGCATATAACCTATACACATTCTACCATATATTTAAAATCTAGATCCAGCCACTTCCAGAAAGTCCCACCTATGAATGCCTGAGGTTTTGGGGGAACATCTAGACACAAACCATAACAGGCTGCTTGGATTTCTTTGGTTCATAACCCCATTACTGCATCTTCACAGCGAGGAACATTGCATCTGACTACTCTTCCGCACTCACATTTTCCTTTCCTTATGAAGTGAGCCAGGAAGGGTCTCTGTTTTAAGGGCCCTGTGATTAGGTTGTGCCGGAACATACAACCATTGCCCCCTGTTTCTTACCTTAACCATACCTTCAAAGTCCTTTTTCCATTACAAGGTAACATAGTCATAAATTGTGGAGATTAGAATATAGATATCTTTAGGAGCCATTATATAAACAGAAATTTATGTGTAGATTTGCACATTTATTGAATACCAATATAATGGATCATTCTTAATATCTATGATATATCTTGTCCTGATAAAGTCTGCCAGTTCAAGAGCAAATAGCAAACAAAATTCTTTTCTTAAAGTTGTAAGCTTTAGGCTGAAAAAGTAGATCTACCCAGAGTAGCATGAACAAGTAGATGCTCTTTCTTGATTAGCAAAAATTTATGAGGTTGGATGTTTTATAACTAAGCAGTGAATGACTTTTACAGTGATTTTTAGTCCTGTATTTTCTCTAGTTCAGGTTAATGTAGTTTTTCTTCAATAAATATTTCTTAGAAGTATAAAAGGAAGGTGAAATTGCATATCTGTATTTTTCTTCCAGCACATATTTATGACAAGTTATATTCAATAGGTTTTCTTAGGCTTATAAATTGTAGTCAAATTCCTTACAATGGGGACAAAAACATTATTATTAACTTAAGGTGGAAATAAAGGGTAAGGAAGAAGGAAATTATAAAACATTAATAGCTTAATTCATTTTTATACTGTATTTTAAAGTTCATACAAAAATAATAAAGTGAACATAAGAAGAGATATGAGCAGTGTTGAGAAATGAGAAGACTGTGAAATATAATTCATTTCCTCTAAAGAAGCAGTTGGTAAACTCTAAACTGATTCTTTACTGAGAATCATCATCACTGTGATTCAGTAATGTTAGCTCATAATTATTTTGTAGTTTTATTAATTTTATCTTTCTTTTTGTTGGTTTTTTTTTTTTCTTTTAATAGCAAGGAAGTATGACTATCAGCAGTCACAAAGCCAAGCTGACAGTGTGCAGCTCTCACTGGAATGAAACCTCAGCAAATGAGCAACATAAGTAATTACTTTAGCTGGAGGTGGTGATCCAGGAGCCTGTAATTCAAGCACTTAGGAGGCTGAGGCGGGAAGCTCACCAATTCAAGGTCAGCCTGGGTTATATACCAAGTTCAAGTCTAGCCTGAACTGTAAGGCTAGTGAGACCCTGTCTCAAAAAGAAAAGTTTTAAAATTTTTTTTAAAAGAGTAATTGTGAAAAATAAAAATAAAAATAAACTGTAATTGTGAAATAGTACCATAACAAACTTGTACTTCCTTTTACTAAATGGCAAACATTAAAAAAAAAAAAAAACTTCTGTGTATAAAATCATTTTCTTTGGGGCGTCCCCTCCCCCTTTTTTGGTATTATGTTTTGCATTTTAAAATCACTTCTCCCTGTCGTTTGTTACACAAGTACAAATGGCTCAAAAGGCTTGAATACACAGAGCCTGCACATCTCAGGAAGATACAGTATAACCAAATGGGGGGTTCACCCAGGAACTCTGACTTCTTCATGATATAGTCAGTGAGAAATAGAAATTTAGCTTTGGAAGTGAGAATCCTGGAGTTTATACCACCTTGATTAAAATAATTTTGGAAAATTAAAAAATAGAAATCCAGCAGTTGGAATAACCTCTGTTTAGATTGTTTCTGTAATAAGTACAATATCAATAACAGACTAGTTTCCATGTTTAGTACTCTTTATTAATGACTTCTTAAGTGAATTAGTGCTCTTCTTCAGAACTTGTACAGTAGGTTGTCTTTTCTCCATCTGGGAGCGTACCCATGTGCTGATCTTAGAAGCTTTCTGTGACGAGATTCCCCCTTACCTGTGTTCTCTGTAGTTATGTTTTCATTTTTATCCCTATCTTCTTTTCCTAGATGGGACTAGATGGGACTTCTTTAAGTCATACAGTCCAGGCTGGAAGACAGCAGCTGTTGGAAACTTTCTTTTCAGTCATGTCATTGTCAGTTTTTAATGCTACTCTGTTTTTTCTTCTGCATTTTTTTATCACAGTAAGCTTTTCTAAAAACCTTCCTGTTGAGTGCCATTTTATACTGTACAATGCGATATTTTTATCTGTTTCTCATGTTTTTTAAATAAAAGCTGGTTGGAGCTAGTGGTAGAAGGAAGTTCAACAATCTATAACTCAACTAGTTTTTTTTAAATTAAAGCTATACTTAATTTTGAGTTAGTTAAAAATCATTTCAAGTATTTTCTTTTTATTAATGTGAAACTAAAGAATATAACCTTTAAATAAAATTAAGCCTTAGAGCAAATAAAATCATTCAGAGAAATCATTCAGAGAACATTAAAATTTTACTTTTAAAATTTAATATATCATCACAAAGTGTATGTAGCACTTGTACAAGGTGAATTGTTGACGAAATGGAGTGATTCTTTTTAAGTCACACGAGTCTGAATGCCTCCACTGTATTAAAAAGTGATTAAAGGATTGTGAACAGGAGCAGAACAGTAGCAGAACAACCAGGGGACAATCTTAAACCCTTTTTGCCTTAGGAGACCTCCTGCATGTTTTCATGAGCAGAGGGTTTAATCAGGAGCAACAGTGGTTCACTGTTCACTATGTGGCTCAGTCTGGGTGGGTTATGCAAGTGGCCATCTCAGAAGATTTGTAAAAATAGCTTACATAAAGAAATATAAATTACATAGTGAAATCATTTATTGTAGTTGCATTCATGAGATAGACAGTCATAAATACAACCTCATAGATTAGTGAGCAACAAACCTTGGCAAGTGAGAGAGAATATATTATTCTTCACTTTCTCTGTAAAGCTACATGGGGGAATCGCATACACCCCACTGGCAGGAACAGCAGCAGGTCCAGCTTTGAAGTTACTTCCCTGCTTTAACAGCTGAGCTGGGAAGAGATGGAAGCCCTGCAGCCACACTTCAAAGTGACCCAGCTCATAGCCTGCTTCTGCCTATCGTGATCCTGTGGAACTGTTTTCTTTGGAAGCAGAATGGAACAACAGATGAAGTAGTGGTGAGCAGTTATGTCCCCCTTTCCTCCTTTCTTCCTCCTTTCCCAAGGTGTAAGTACCGGTTAGCTTCCATGGGTATACAGCTCAAGTGTGTTAACCAGTTGGTGTTTGGTGATGGCAGCCAGCTGTTCTAAGACCTGAAGTTAGCTCCAAAGGGCCCAGATGTTCACTAGTGGCCTCATGTTGTGTCTGGTTATTTATAGAATTCATCAGAAACTCAAATGCAGGGTTCATGGGAAGATTGTAGTGTTAAAAATACTTTAAGTATTTAGAAGAAATGAGGTAAAATTGTGGTAATAAAAATAGTTCCAGATATTGAGATAATAATAAACTGAACATGGAATAGAATAAACAAAAGAATATTGATGAAGCCAAGTAATTCAAGCGATGGTTCTAGAGTGCAGACCATGTAGCAATATGCCACCCTCTCCCATCGGACATTTTATCACAGTTAGCAGAATGGCAATGAGAAGGGGTGCCAGGAAACTCAACGGAAGTCAGGACACGTGATGTAGCTCCAACTTATATTTAAAATAGAACTTTAAATGGGGAGTGTGAGCTTAGTCTTAACTTATTTCCCACTTGACTCTCTAATAAAGCCAGAGCCAAACTTACACAAAACTTACTATGAAACAAAAATGTCCTCTTGTCTCTCGTCATCCTTGTGGAATCCTGTGTGGGTAAGACCGGTTTTGTGTAAGGATTTAAGAATGGTGATGAAGAATTAAGCTGAAAACTCCTGTGCTAGATGTGGAAACATTCCTTAACCTCTAATGTGAAGGCAAAGATTCTGTACTGTGTTCCCTGCCCTTTATCTAGGATATAATAAAAAACTAATCTACTTAAGCAGGTTAGTAACAGTCTACATTCTAGGTAGGAAAGTGAGGTAACAAGCCATGCAGTGGGCAGGCATATGTTTTAACCCCAAATTTGATGCCAAACAAGCACTGTATTGTCCACCTCTTTTATGTTAATGGTTATAACTCCCGAGGTTTTTCCTTCCAAATAGAGAAGCTACAGAGTTCATACTTATGAAAGAGTGACTCCTGCTTGGAATTTTTATAAAGATATATTTTGAGAAATTTCAAAACAGCTGAAAAAAGCTAGGGAGAGATCACATGGTGAGACAGGAAGCCAGAGAGTGCAGGAGAGGCCAGTTTTTCTCTTGTATGTAGTCTCAAGTGAACTATCCCGGCACCCACAAGAACTACCTTAATTCTTCCTAAGGGTTGCATTCCAGTATCCTAATGACCTTCCACCCTGCCCCACCTTGAAAGGCCCCACCACATTGTAACATCACCTTGCTGGGGACCAACCTGCAAATACATGGAATTGTGGGGGGAAGCTACATCCTAATCACACAGTATCCAGTGTGTCTTGAAAATCCCCTGCTTCTCTTCTCTCCACAGTATCCAGTATCCTCCTGTTCTCTATCAAAACCTGCTTCCAAGAAGGAATGGAAAATACTTCACAAAAATACTCCACAAAAGTATGACTGATAACAAAGTGTTGCTTCTACAGGGTGTTCGGTCTGCATTTTAACAGAGACAAACTTCAATTGGAAGGACATGATGTTTTCAGATACTACAAAGCTGTGGTATTCTAAGGGATAAGAAAACGTTTATGACCTCTGAAGTGAGATCATGTGAGCAATGAACTAAACTCCACTTACACATCATCTTTGGCTACTATTTCCAATTCTTCTCTCCTTGATTGTCTTAGTTTAAGAAATAGCAATCATAATGTCATTTCTTCCCCACCAAACTACTAAATGTATTGCAACTCCTAAAAAAAGGAAAAACTGATTCTACTATTTGTATCAGTTTAAAACAGCACAGTCAACTCTGTTGTCTGGTCTCTGAGTGAGAAAGATGCTAACAGGTAATGGCTTTTGGCTACTACTTTACATTTTAGTCAAACTGAGCAATTTTTTTTGTTTGTTTGTTTTTTTGTTTTTTGGTTTTTCTCCGGTACCGGGAACCGAACTCACGACCTTGCGCTTGCCAGGCAGGCGCTTTTGCCGCTGAGCTAAATCCCCAGCCCCAAACTGAGCAATATTAATGATTCTCCCAGTTCTGAGTTGATGGAGTGTATTACTATTTGCAAGAGAAACTGATCTAATGCAGAACACAGAAATTTACAGAATTAACTGACAGTAGTCGCCCACAGAGCCAAATGTAGAAGAGTGCAAGAGATCTGACTGCACACCAGAGATCTGAAGAATCCAGCCAAAGACCTGGAGCCCAGGCCAGTGTCCTGTAGGTTGAGGAATCTGCAATGGAAGACCGAAGGGACTGCACTGCAAAACCCGAAGATCACTGCTGGAGGTTGGGGAGTCTGTGCTGGCAGGCTGGAAAGTGGTGCTGGAAGCTGAAGAATCTGAGAACCAAGAGACAACAGCACTCAAGGTGAAAGCAAAGGTGAAGACAGCAGCTGTCCTTGACAAAGGTGAAGACTAGAGCTCAGCCAAAGAGAACAGCTAAAGCTTTTCCAAAGAAAAGCAGCCAGACGAAAATCAGCAGCAAAGCTACAGGAACAAAACTTCCAAGGGAAATCAGCGTGAAATCCTGCCGTCCCATTTTCCTTTCATACTGTTTGGACAGTAAGCCTCCTTAAGTGGGTCTTCCATGCTCAGAACCTCAATTAGTCAGTTGACCATCACACGGAGTGTTGAAAAATGTGGAGATTAGATGGGTGAGAAATATCTCCAGGGGGAAAATGGAGAGGTACAGGGCAGATATGTGGAAAAGTAATTTCTGACAGAGTAACTACAGCTTCCTAGCCTTAAGATTGGTGTTTACATACACACAGAAGTTTGGTACCTCTCTAATGGCAAGTTTTCCTTGGTCTGCTATAGGACCTTGCATATAGTAAGTGCTTAACAAATACTTCATTGAATATAGTGTTATGCTACCCTAGAAAGCAGCCAGGTTTATGGAATAACATCACTCTAATAGATTGTGATTCTTTTCCAGTACAGAAGAAAGCACAGCGATTCTGTCATCCTAGTAGCTCTTTGCTGACCCCCCACTTTGTGCAGTTGGTTAAATCCCAATGTCTTCTACAAAGCAAAAGTGGAGGATGTATTTTTCTCAAAATATTCCAGGACACAGTATATTTGTGTGTGTGTGTGTGTGTGTGTGTGTGTGTGTGTGTGTGTGTGTTTGAAATTTTCTTTTTGTGGTTCTGAAGATTGAACTCAGGGCTTTCACAGTGAGCTACATACATCCCCAACCCTTTATATTTTTATTTTGACACAAGATCTCACTAGGTCTCTAAAATGCCCAGGTGGGTTAAACTTGTGACCCTGCTGCCTCATTTTTTCAGAGTGCTGGGATTATGGGCATGCATCACCTTACCTGGCTCAGTGCACTGTACATTTTTAAGGAGTAATAGTTTTTAAAAATACATAATTGGACTGAAAGTGTAGCTCAGTGATAGGACACTTGCAAAGCATGTGTGAGACATTGAGTTTAACCCAACAGCACACATACTCAAAACACATTCTTCAAAAATTTTTAGCAAATATCTCTCAGTTTATCATGCTAATGAAGTGTCAATCAAAATCCACAGAAGTCTCCCTTAAATGTTTGCCTTTCCCAATCAGTTTCCTATATCACAACTTTAATTTGTTTTCAAGCTGTGTACTCTTACAACTAATACCAAACATACACTGTTTGAATTTCAAAAAAAAAGGAACTATAAAGGCTGAAGGGAATCTACAAGTTTACCAACTGACATCTGGGGAATCTTCAGTGAATAAGTTACATTTTTAAGAGTAGTCATTGAGCAGATGATTGTTTTTACAAATTTATATATTCCATTTTTATATTCAGATTCAGCAAATGACCACATCAGTCCAAGTGTTACAACATCACATTTTGAATTTAAGTCAACATGTTTCATATTTATAATTCTTAAGCAAGGGCTAACATGTTATTAGTATTTTATATATTAATAAAACATCAAACATTGTTGATTGTAAGCTAACTATAATTGAGGAAATATGTTAACAGTCCAGAATACCAAAGCAGATGCTGGCTTAGCTAATTGCAAACAAATTTTGTGTACCCTTGTAGGATTTTTAAGACTTTTATCTGCAAATCTTTTTGGGAAAGGAGTTTTTCTGTTTCTTCTTTGAGACTTCTTCTATCAACATTAGCTCTCTCTCTTTTCATCTTCAAGATCTATAATGTTTTCCTCAGAGGCCTGGAGATTGACTTTTAGAAATGCTAGTTCTAAGGATAGACTTTCATTTATCTATAAATTATATATGAATAAAAGTTATTTGAAATTTAATTACTCAAAATTTGCTTCTTTAATTGCATTCTAACTTTATATGAGGCTCTAGATATTTTTGACCATGAAGATGCCTTACTTAATGGCCTGTGGCCTATTGCTATGGTCAAATAGAATTAATAACAGTTCTTATTTATGCTAACTTAGTATTTGTCAAATACACCATTCTTTAACTTACAAAAAAGACCCTGGCAAATATAACAGACTTCAAAGGGGTTACACATTTTTAGAAACACTAATCCTTAATTATAGCTGTGGAGAAATTTGAGATGAACATATTAACCAGCATATGACAAATATAGATACTGGATAAAGGCCTTGACTGAAGCTTGACATTTGCTTTTTTAAGCTGCTTAAGAATAAACTTAACCTAAGATATTCTGAATGGAGGCAAGTCCCTTCATGGCCCAAAGAATCTTCTTCCTTTGCAGTTTTATTAGAACTTATCCTAACTGGCTAACCAAAAGGATCTAGTTCATCATTCACTTAAGGAATTAAAATTAAGGTTGAACATGGCTTAGTTTATATCAAGTCACATTTGATACCATCAAATAAGACTTTCTAATTCTGTATATTTTAAGGCAATTTTGAAATAAAATCAATGAACTAGGTAAAGGATCTAGGTAATAGGATACAGAATTGGAAAGTTGAGTTTCAGCCTATGCTAATCAATTTGCAGTTGAACATATCATTAATCTTTTTTATTCTGCCAAATATGAATAAGAATATCTACCCAAGGATAGTCAGATTCTGCATGATACATAATTTAAGTCCTTGAAAGGTAATGTAAAAAATATGTGATGATGTTGTTCAATATTCTTTTAATATGTTACCAAGTTATATACTAATGACCTTGAAAGAACAAAATCAGGTGTGGATAAAATCTCTAATTCTGACAGGATACTAGAGTATGTACTTTTGTGTTTTCTCTGCAGTCCTCGGAAAAGTGACTAATGGAAACTTTAAAAATTTTCCCATTTAGAAAAGAAGTGCAGCTTGCTGTCACATACATTTTATTTTCTTGGATCAAGAATTATTCTACTTTGTAAATGGAAATTCCACTACTAAAAACAGAATGCTACAAATATAATAATGTCTTTTGTCTGTAAAGACTGTCAATATACTAGAGCAATAAAAAAATAATAAAGTTAAGATATTTGTAGCAAACATTGGGGGTAAGGTTAGGACTGTAAACTGTGAGTTATCTTGGGGTAATGCTGTAGCCCTCAAGTGACTACAAGGAGTATTTTAGGGAAAATAGGAAATGAGTTAGTAAAGGAACTATATATCCAAATGAAACTGTGATCTGGGAAAACAGAGGTAGTGTCACTTACTACATTAAAAAAACTTTCAAGGGCTATATACCAGGGCCTGATGGTGACAGTAGTAGCTTTCAACTCTTGCTAAGATGCCTAGGCTGGCCTCAAATTTGAGATCTTCAGACATGAGCATGCAGGTGCAGAGCCAGATATGTGGCATCCCACCACATGGGTAAGCCGACCCATCTCCCTACTCCAGCATAAAGGCAAGACTACTCACACCCTTCAGGCTGGCTCTACATCTTGCTTCCCCTTGGCATAGGGTGCAGAGGCGAGGACTAACCAATTGACCTGATGATCTTGGATAAGGACAATACTCTAGGAAAAAAGTGAGCAATCAGACTCCATGACTGTCAAAATTAAGTCCAATGGTCCACTTGAATCCTCATTCCATGATCTACATCCAACAGAGACCAGAGGGCTGATAGTGTTTCCCACTCACCCATGGAAGAAGGGACATACCTTGGCTTGGGGGATAACAACGGACTGACTGGAGTGAATGAACAGAGGGGGCCCTCTGGTGCAGGGAGGACACCTTAAAAACACATAGGCCCTAAAGCTAGGTATCATGATTGGCTGAATTCCAAGACTGCAGATCTTGGAGAGAAACCACTCATTCAAAAACACAGGATTTTTTTTCTTTTTAATTTGTCTATTTTGTATTATCTTTCCTTTACCAGGTTTCTGGGCAGGTGGGGGGGGGTTCCTCCCATTTTTCCACTTTTAAAAAGTTTCTTTTTTCTAGTTTCAACTTCTTTTTCTCTTCCTATAGAGAGCCCTTCCTGGAAGTTTGTATTTGTAATCCCATGAAAAGTTATTGGAATTCTAGTGAGTTAATTCCAGTCTACCACTTTCAGTGCAACCCGTGGTGAGAATAAAGACACTAACGCATACTTGTAGTTATGGGGAGCCAAGAGGTCCTAAGTCCAGCCACAGTGATGGCCATCAGGAACAAAGGCCTTGACCCCAGGCTGAACCCAGGTTTTATTGATTCATGAAGAAGGGAGTGGCCTGAGGGGGAGTTACTGTGAGAACCATGGAAAGGAGGTGAGCGCCAAGAGCTGGGCTAGGTAGGAGGCCTGAAATCACCTCTGCAAATTCATAGAGAAAGATATGCAGAAAGTGTAATCTGCATAGCACAATGCAGGTAGTATCTAATGTTTTGGGGTCAGTACT